TTGCTGTTAAACTATTAATAAGACTGAGATCAGCCACTGTAAATCACTTTTCATCCATGTTAACTTTTCATGCGTATTAACTGTCTCGGAAGTTTATTACTGTGTTGTCCTCTGACCCATGACTAGACATCTTTTTGACTGCTCTGATTATATTATAGTTAATAATCCTTATTGAAGCATTCACCAGGAGTAGGAAGCTTATTTAGACAGTGAGCTAGTGTTCCACGGAATACTCAAAGGCACCAAAATAAAGTGAGATCCAGCTGGGTGTGGCAGCACAGACCTGTAATACAAATGCGACAGCCTCCCCTCCCCCTTCAGTGCGCACATACATGTATGTAAAGTCAGCCACTCCATCCATGTGTGCACAGCTCTGGCACACAGGAGGCAGGCTGAGGCAGGTTGATCTCTGTGGGTTCGAGGCCAGCCTGGTCTACATAGTGAGACCCTGGCTCAAAGCAAAAATAAAAACAAAAAGTAAAATGGAACAGATTGTTAGATAGTGGTGCTGCCACAACTTCAAGCCATGTTATAACCAAGTCAACCCAAATAAAGCCTCACAGCGCCCTCTCTTTCCTTGGTACACACCCATACAAACATTTAAAAAGCGGCCACTCTATCTGCTACGTGACGGTATTGAAAAGAAATGGAATGAGCCATGTTTCACAAAGACTCCTTGGGGACTTACAGAGCTATGCTTAATTTGAGAAGTGAGATCAATAAAGGGAGGTTTTTTGTTATTGTTTTGTTTTGGTTTTTTTTTTACTATAAATTTTATTTAAATCTTTTTTTATACAAGGAGAACAGTCACAAAGCTTGTGTAGTTAATAAACCAAGGCACTGCAAGGGTTAGGACCGTAAGCTTCCCATGGGACAAAGGTAAGGCCCAGTGGGGCACTCAAGTCTTTTGAGGTCACCTGATGAAGGTGGGGTGCCTCCCTGTGCTTAGAAGCCACCCTGCTCAATGGATCTCGGATTTCTGTGTCTGGGAGAGGATCGATTCTAGGAGTAGCCAGAGCTCCAGTGAGGAAGACTGCAAGTAAATAATTTCTTAAAGAAAGCGGATTAAATTAAATGCATTTTTCATTCATTAGGGAAGGGAGAAGGCCCCTCTTTGTTTTACTAATATTAAGTAGAGTATAGATTTTTTGCCTTTCTTGGCCTCTTTCCCTTGTTCCCACTGGCCTGTGCTGTCTTTTTATTTGAATTATCTGTTTATTATATTAGGTTAGAAACCCAAAGGCCATTTTGCATGGGCCACACTATAAATACCCATTATCACTGTTATCTATTATTGAGCTGATGAAGAGAGACAATTATGAAGGAATTAGATTATCTCAGCTTTTCTATAATCTATTTTATTGTATTCTGAAGATTACATATACAGTTAAGAAAATGAACCAAATCTCCCAGTTGGCACTCCCCTCACAGCCGCCTAACGCGAAGGTGGTATTAAGAGAACTGAAATGTGTAAGCCAATACATTTATGTCAGCACTCTTCCCCTCCTCCCCCATCCACACACACCTATTTCATTCATCATTTTGACAGTTTGCACAAGCAAACTGTCCTAACTTTTTTCAAGAGTTCTTTTCATAAATTGAGTGTGATGTAGAATTAATCACAGCTGCTAGCCAGGAGTTGGAGCACGTTACCACCACAGGGCCTTACCCTCTCAGCACAAGGCTTCCTCCATGTTGTACCAGAGACTTCTCACCCTCTTTCATCTCTTCCTTCTCCCCACCGAGCCACTGCTCATATCTCCCTTCGCCTTCGTGACAGCTACGCTTACTTCTGTGCTAAAATATCTCTGTTATTACAGCACAGCTTTTATTTTCACTTTCTTCATGCCATGCAGCATTATGCAAGTGGTTATTTTTCTTCCTTGGGTAATTTGTCCCTTCCTCTCCCCTCTTCATTTTTTAAATTTTAAAATTATTATTACTGTGTTATGATTTGTGTGTGCACGTGTGTGCGTACACGTGTGTGCATGCGTGTGCGTGTATGGAGATCTGAGAACAATCTTGGTCTTGTTTTCACCTTCTACTTTGTTTACTATCAGGGTCACTTGTGGTTCTCACTGATGGTCTCCACACTGCAGGCTAGCTGGCCCTTGAACATGTGAGACACCTTCTGTTTCCATCTCCCACCTCACAGCAGGAACAGTGGGATTACAGACACGCATTACCAGGCTTGGATTTCGGGAGCTGCTGGGAACTCAAAGTCAATCCTTCACATCTGTGTGGCAAATACTTTATCCACCAAATCACCTCCCTAGCCTGCTTTATATCTGTAAATATAAAGACAAAAGCATTTAAAAAGGCTGGCTTCAAATAGACAGAGCTGCAAAGAACCAACCTCCACCTTATTGGTTGTGAGACTGCCTTTACCTGGAAGGATTTTAGAATTACATAGCAAGGGAGGATGGTGAGGAAGCTACTGTGTAGCTGGACATGGTGACTTACACCTGTAATCTCAGCACATAAGAGACAGAGGGAGGACAATTCTTAGATGCCCAGCCTGTGCCATATACTGAATCACAGGACAACCTGGACCACAGTGAAAAGCCTTGTCTCAAAAAGCCAAAAGAAGAAGGAAGAGGAGGAGGAACAAGAAGAGGAGGAGGAGGAGGAGGAGGAGGAGGAGGAGGAGGAGGAGGAGAAAGAAGAGGATTAGAAGGAGCAGCAGGAGGAACTGTTGTGTACAATGGGAACAACGGAAGCAATGGAGAAAAGTTGCAGCGATTTCGTTTTGCTGTGCAGCCATAGCTTGAAACTTGGACATAGAAATGTGTACCTTAATGCCAGATTTTTTTTCCATCCAGAGGAGAAAAATCCTACTTAATTGAAGTTAACAATCTACACTGACAATTTCAGCTCTGACTTTCTATGCTCTGTTCCTCTCTTCTTGTTTTGAAAGAGAGCAATCCGGACTCTGTAGCTTAGACTGAAAATTGTGAAGGTGCTATTAGATAAACACACAGCACTTAGCTCTGCTGCGCTTTCAAGATTATAGAGATGCTGACAGTTCAGTGGAAGGAATAGTATTTATATCTCAAAAGCATGTAGGCGGCTCTGGCAAATATTAGTTGCATAAACCTGATGGTAGCTGCATGCACGCCTGAGGGCGGGTATTTGGGTCTTTCCCCTGGCCCTGATACACGTGTTGAGTACACAGGCACCTGCACTTGAAACTTGACTCTACAGGTGCATTTACAAGAATGTATGTACATTCGAGAGAAAGAGAGGAGAGAGAAAAACAGAAGGGAGAGAGAGAACTATCCTGTAATAGTGTGCACTTGGTTGCTGGGATGTATAATACCACGTCTACTGTGTGTTGACTGTGTCTTAGAATGGGCCTGGGTCTGGAGTCTGCCTTTGATTATAGATGCATATTTTAGGAAGGTCACACTACTCTCTCTAAACATCAACTTTCATATCCAGAAAAAAGAACTTTCATGGTTATACTGTGCTGCAGTCTGAGTATGAAATGTTCCTCATAGGTTCATAGGTTCCAACACTTGATACCCAGCTCTGAAGATCAGCTGTAAGACTAAATGAAAAACAGCCATCAAGGTCCTGTCACTTTGGACCCGAGGAAGCAACTAGTTATACTCTTCTTTCTTAGTGGAGAAGATACCAGTTTGGGCATCTTTGAGTCACATTTTTTTTTTTTTTCTCGCGGTGCTTCAGAGATCACAGTTCCTGAGCAGGTAGCCGATGATGGAATGTTTGGGGGGTAAATGGGGTTTAGAAGAATGGGTGAAAGAAGACTTCCTGAGATTCCTTTTCTCTAGACCCTATTTGAAAGGGTAGCAGATAATGTGAGTCTTCTAGAGCGGAATGTCGCAGGAGCATTTCTTAGGTTTTATATGGCCACAAAATTCTTTTCGGCAGATCATGTCATACAACTAATAGGACAACACTTACTGGACTGTGACTGTAAAACGTTTCCCCATGAGCTCATGTGTTTGAACACTTGGTCTTCTGCTCATCTAAAAGGTTGTGGGATCTTTGGGAGGTCAGACCTACCTAGAAGAATTGGTTTGGGGGAGGAGCTTAAGGTCCATTGCTGGGTCCTAATTCCTGTAGAGCCTCTGCTTTGCGGCCTCTTAAGATAAGGAACAAACAGCTCTTGCATGCTTCCTGCTGCTACAGGACCATCCACTACCAGATCATTCTTATGATGATGGACTAACTCCTCAGATCATGATCCTAAACAAATACTCCTTCCCTTGTTTCACGTCAGGCTTCTGATAAGAGCAATAAGAAAAAATCATGACTACAATGGGATTCACCGACTGACTGTAGCATCTTCTGCCGGTCCAGCAGGAAACCATATCCAAAGGCCTCAATGAACAGATGCAGGTTGGACAGGATCAGCTCTAACCACGCAATGTCCATCTTTTCTCTTGGTCATTTGCCTTATAGAGTCAATTATCAAGCCCTCAGGGGATAGAAAAGCCAGCTCCTATCACTTCAGCAGGGTCAAAGTCTGAGACGGTATCTAATACTGGACAGGACAAAGGAATGGAGATGACTAGTCCACGAACTGACAGGAGAGCACGAAGGGTGGGAACACCCTCGTGAGAAGACGAACACGCTCTACTAGCAGCGGCCATGGACGGAAGAGGTGAAGCTGGACATTTGCAAGCACAGAATGAAGTTAAGGAGACGAGCCTGCCTGTTAATATGACTAACTGCAGCACAGGCACATAGCCATTTGCAGCCTGTCCACATTTTATTGAGATGAGCAATTACATGTCCTGTAATGGCAATGAAGCAATAAAATTTATGTCTTGTCATCTTTAACAAGATTAGACATAACCCCGCTCATAAATGTAATACTGAATAGAGATTTTTAAGAACATAAGTATAGTTAAGGATCTTTGAGTTTATCCCCCATAGTTAATTAAAATCCTCCCCAAGAATCGGCAGATGAAAGATATAAGGACACTGAACATTTTACTCTATGGAAGAGTGAACTAATGATTTTTCCATACCTTGCTCAGCCCAGGCAGGCTCTGTGACTCATAACATTTATACCACATAGACTTCAGAAGAGAGGCGAAGGGAGTGACTCCAATTCCCGTTGCAATGCACACACTCACAGGGTAGTGAAACACATCTGCCAGAGAGCCTCCAAAGGGCCCGTCCACTGCCAGCCTGGAATCACATAAAGCAGTTCAGGTGACCTTGGGAATGTTTTGCTTCTGAACACAGAGACATTCTAAGGCAGAGCGTCTTATTGGGAGGGTCAGTAAGTGTGGGCTGGAACATTGCTGGGGTATTTGAAGATTCTGTCTTTGGGAGGAGGAATGGATAAAGTGGTTGGTTCAGTGCATGCTATGCGAGCACGAGGACATGAGTCCAATGCCCAGGAGTTATGAAAAAAAAAAAAAAAAGCCCAACTATGGTAGCAAGTTTGTAATCCCAGTGTTGGGAAAGCAAGACATAGCCTAGACTCTGCCTCAAAAAAGAAAAAAAAAAAGGTGGAGAAGCAATTAGGAAGCAAGCTGACTTCTGGCCTTTCCATGAACACATGCACTCACTCACACACACTCACACATGAGTACACATGCACACACACACACACACACACAGCATACTCTCTTGGGGCCCACCTTCCTGGAAGAACACTACCTAAACATCCTGGCCAGGGTTCATGGAAGGCCAAGCCTGCCACATCCTGCTGTGGCTCACCTCAGCAAAGCCAGCATGAGGAGCCTCCCTGCCTTTCTTTCCCTCAGCAGCTAGCTGAAGGCCAAGGAGTCACTCCAAGGTGACTTAAAGACTTGCCTTTTCATGGCGAAATCCCCCATTTTCATTTGTTTGATCACATGTTTTCATACATTTATATAATTTTAATCTAATGGAGGTAATTTGCTTGGAATAAATGTAATTTTGAAATAAGTTGTCAGTTAAGTTCAACTTGTAAAACTCACTATTTTAGATTATATTTGCTTAAAATAATCCTTTGTGATTATCAGCTCAGGGGCAGTAAAAATGTTTGCCTTTGCTTAGCAATTTTTTTAATAACGATAAAACATACTTTTGGGATAAGTGAGATGTTCTTGCATAAACTAGCCACTGGGTGCTTCCCCAGATCTCCATGTTGGCGCTTCTGTTTCCTAAATGTGTGGCATTGTCTTCTGTCACACAGCATCTTTTCACATGGACTACTTAGCTGCAGTTTCTCCTCTCTTCACTTGCTTAAACGGCACCTTTCCACCAGGTGCTGGCTAATCATTACTCCCTGGGGAAGTTCTCTTGGACCCCTTTGACGAAGTGAAATTCCCTCACCTGTCCTTCCTTACTCTAGCTGTGATACTTTATACTGTGTGTGTGCACAGGTCTGTATTTGCTAGTTGCTTACCTGGTGCCTTACTGATGACCCAGCCTGGAGCTGTTCAATAGTAATTTGTTGAATCAATTGTAAAGGGAATATTTAGAGCATTCCAGTAGGCAGAAATGTATTAAATAACTCCTACTATTCTAAAAGTACACATTTACATATGAATAAAGCTATGCTAATTAAAAGGTTTCTAAGTCATTCATACCCATTCCCTGAGGAGAGCCTGTCACCTGCATGGTAGGGATGGGGGTTAACCCATTTGGGCTTTAATGTGTGTTCATGAAAGTTCAAATAGATTTATTTAAAAATATTCTATATCCCAGACCTCCCACTAATTCAAATAAACTCTCCTTGAGTTAATCTCAATTAATAAAGCTTAATTACATATTGATATATAGAAATAGGAGAATAAAAATAAAAGGTCATTAACTAGAAAGTGCTAGTATCTTAGCCCACCATAGATTATTTTATAAATAATTAGATAAATAGATAGATAAATGGAGACAGTATCTATAGATTAAGATGTCTTGTTGTTGACTCTTTTTGTTAGTAATCAGTGCTTTGACACAAATTTGAAAAGGTACCAATTAAATTCAGAGGACACCTGTGTCCTGAAGCACACAGAAATTTATATGCATATATACGTAATAAAACTTCCTAGTTGTTCGGAATTAGAGCTCTTCCTTGACCCTGCCCAAGAACTGATTAGACTCTTGTCAGCTTGCAGGGCACTCTGTTGTCCTGGGGAGCAGGGTCATGTCTGAGAAAATTCTTCACGTCTTACTGAAATCTATAAGGATCTTAGCTTCTGCCTTCTTTAGAATATGGTTCATATCTTTCTTCTTTCCTACATACCAAGCTTTGACACCTCAATATTTGTTTTTTTTTTTTTGGGGGGGGGGAGGGAGCTGCATTTCTTTATCTATTAAAATTGAAATAGGTATTCTTTGGAAACATTTCTTTTCTTCATTTTTTAAATGTGTGTGCTGTGATTATGTGTGCACATGTGAGCATGTGTCTTTGGGGTTCACACACATATGTGTTTGTGCGTGTGTGTAGAGGCTAGTAGTCGCTGCAGGTATCTTTCATGATGACTCTCCATCATGTATATCATAGATGTATACATATGATGGAGAGTGATCATACATATGATGGAGAGTGATCATATGTACATATATATGTGTGTGATGGAGAGTGATCAAGGATCGATATAAGAAATAGGATATAGAGTCAACATAGGGTCTTTTATTTGAACTACCATCTCACTGATTTGGCTACTCTGGTAAGCTAAATGACTCCAGGATCTCCTGTCTTTCCCCACGAGCACTGGGATTACAAGTGGGCTAGCACGCTAACCTAAGGTTTTATGTGGGTCCTGGAGAGGTGAATTTGGGTTATCACACTTATACAGCAAGCTCTTTACCTGCAAGGCCATCTCTTCATGATAAACACCCTTTCATGATAAAAGTCTTGGAGAGACCAAAGGTACAAGGGATTTGCCTAAACATAATAAAGGCAATTTAAGCAAGCCTATAGGCAACATAAAATTAAATGGAGATAAACATAAAGCAAGTCTGCTAAAACCAGGGACAAGACAATGCTGTTCACTCTCTCCATATCTATTTAATAGCCAGACTTGAAGTTCTGGCTAGAGCAATAAGACAAGAGAAGAACTAAAAGAACTACAAAATGGAAAATATTTTGATTTTTCCCATTTGCAAATGACATATTATGTATAAGACTCATATTAGGTATCAGGTCTGGATACATTCTAGCTGTCATGTTTATTCACATGCTATTCCCTTGATTTGAACCCCAGGTTTTTAACGTAAATCAGGAAGTCATTTGTCTTGCAGCAACTGAGTCTTGCTTGCTCCTTGATGACTCACACCATCAGCCTCTTTCCTCATTTGGCATCTCTGGTTTACTTGGCCTTTCTTACTTTGCAACCAATCGTGCTAACTCTTTCTTGCCACTTATACATTATGCCAAGGCCACTGTGGAATACAATAGCTAATCCTATATCAAATATTATGCATTGCTGTCATCTCACACTTAAGTGTAATCAAAGAATGTTCTTATAGAATTAGATAACAGAATGATGATTATCTGAGGAGAGTCTGGAGTGGGAAGAGGGGAGTGAAAGCTGTCAATAAAGGATACATAAGTACAGTCATATAGGAAGGACACTTTGAAAGAGATGTCATTGTGTGGCAAGGTGACTGTAATCAGGGGAGATCTATTATAATCTTGAAAAGTGCAAAGTGAGTAGACCAGACATGTTCTTACTGTGAAAGCATTAACTGTGAAGTAACACAGCTGTTCACTAGATATAACATAATGTACATATAAAAACATAATGTGTACATAAAAACTTTAAGTATATACAAACAATGTGTATATATATATATATATATATATATATATATATATATATATATACACACACACACACACACACACACGATGTACATGTCCTTCAAAGCCATGTTCTACACAGTAAGCACATATAATTTTACCTGGCAGTTGTAGAAAAATAAGAAGGATATGAGGTTTATATCAAGGAAAGACAAGGGGGTGGAGCAGATGTCCCCGGGAAGGCCCTGGAGACCAGGTCTTACCAGGCCTCCCAGTGACACTCCATAGACAAAAAGCAGCAGCACACAGTGCTCTCTGTGGCTGGTTGGAAGCTAGTTGGCTAGTGAAGGGAAAGATGTTGACAGACTAAATAACTGGACGCACACGGAGCAGAATCAAGGCCAACAAAGAAGCTGAAGGCATGAACTTAGCAATGGTAGGGCTGCGCAGGGGTGAGGGAAGCTAGCAGACACTGTAATTGCGTTGTGTGGCGGGGGGGTTGGGGTGGGGAGGAGTCACCTCCTTCTACATTTGTCTCTGATTTTAGGCATTTTCACTTCATTTTCAGTCTTGGAACTCAGTTTCATTGCTTATCCTTTGCTACTCATCTTTGACAGGAAGACATGCATTCATTACACCCACCACACAAAGCCAGTGTGACATTCTTACAGTTCAGCCTTCCCTGGAGAAGGGGAAAGAGGGACAAGAAGCTCCTTTCATTTCGTGCCTTCTACTTGTAATGGTGATTACATTGTCATCAATAAGTATTCGTCAAATCAAATGAGCTAAAGAATACCTGTTGAGCTGAAGGTATTAACTGTTTTCTGTTATGTTATCTTTATGTATCTGACATTGTGGCAGACCCTGCAGATTCAGGAGAAGGATGACAACATCTCATCGGCAGGAATTCCCATGTAAGTATGTACCACTGTGTTTTAAAGTGATCTTGAGGTGGCCACTGTCCCCAAGAATGGTACAAGTAGACATTTTTTTATGCTTCATTGACATATTCATTTGTTTTTCTTATCTTTTTCTGTTTTCTTGCTTTTTGGGGGCCTTATCCATGGACTTCATGTAATTGTATGATCCTGTAGGAGTGGGAATTGAACTGCTTGTTCACTTAGAGGGTCAAATGCTTACGCTTTTCTGAATAGAGTACTGGTATGGACAGAATCATGCCGCTGATTATGAAGAAGCCAGGGCCTTATTTGAAAATAGGGTTGCAGCCATGAGGAGTCTCTATACGCATCTCTTCTATGCTACCATGCAGTTATAGAGAAGTGATATGGATTAAGTCCAGCATGACCAGAGGAGAGGGTCCTTCTTCAGGGGACCAACCTTTGCAAACAGAGTCTGAAGCCTCAGTCTGCGATGAGAGAGAGCTGACGGGGGATGTTGTCTGACTCATGGCAGGCTGTACATAATTAGACAGGAGATGCTTTAGGATCTGGAAAAGAATCTGTTCCTTCTGTCTGGATCATCGTCTACTTTTGTTGAACATTTATTTATTTTTTACAGAAATGTACTTGCTTCTCTTAAATTATACATTTTATGAATACTTTCATTAAAAAAAAGAACTCGAGCTTGCAGCTTAGTATAAAGCTATCACCAGATCTGACAATTATTCATGCATTTAGATAATCTCCCATTTGAAGTATCATGCCTTGAATGTAACAGTGACCTGAGGTGGGGGGGTGTCTCACCTTGGCATGCTACGATGCTCACTGGGGGCCTGTCCCTCCATCCCAAAGGCTTTCAACAGCGCCTCTGTCCAGTCTCCTGAGGCACGGATGTGCACACTAAAGAAGTCCTCCTGTGGAGCAGAGGTGAGAGTGAAGGGGTGCCATTCCAGTGCGGAAATAGATGGGCATTGGATGAGGATGTACTGTCCGGGTGCCATCTTGAAGTCACGCTTCTTCATATGAAGTTCCAGGACTGCAGACGGGTGACTCACCACCTACAACAGAGCAAGACAGCTGAGGGGATTCTTACTCAGGTAAAATGCCAAGAGTAGATTCTTCATTCCATCAAAGGCTTCCAAAATATTTAATTGGCTTTTTAAAAGATATTATTTCTGTAGACCATCAATATTTGCTACCACCTTCATGCCCAGACTAGCAACTTGAGTGATAATAGAGTTCATTGTGGGGGGGCACTGGGCTTGACTTTTAATGACTCCACGAGGAAGCCATGTGACAGGCATGCGACCCTGTGTCCTACATGACCAAGCGTCTCTGAGCCAATTAACCATTTATAATTGAGTAGAAGTGGGCAGGAATGGATATCCCACAATTTTACTTGAGCTTCTTAAAATAGTTGACACAACGTCTTCACTTACAAAAAATCTAGCAATAATTTGTTACCTTTTGGCATATTCTCTCAATCTCTTGAGAATTAACTCTGAAATCTTCTTCATGCTGAGGGGAAAAATTCCCATCTTCCATGTCGCCTCCAAATGTTTTGTTTGTTGAATTTTACCAAGTACTGTCTTGGTTCTGAGCTTTTGGTATAGGGAAGCCCCGTGAATCTTTTACAAGGACTTCAGGCTAGTGGCTCATCTGAGGAACAGAGCATTTGTCCTCCATATATGTCCACTGGTTTATTAAAAATCTCTGCACACCTCCAGGTCTTCTGTGGTAAATGCACACGAGAATACAATCCAGTATGCCTATACTGGGATGTCACTTTTTCATTTTCCTTCACTGTATTTTAATCTTTAGTTCCAGATGTCTGCTCACCCTTCTGACATTGCCTTTGATAGAACTGCTAAATGGACTACTTCCTACTAACAGGCCTAGCTTCCCACAGGTGCTCCAGCCTGGACTGACATCCTGTGGCACTAAGCTAAGCTTGAACTCAGCAACACAGATTCTCAGTAAAGCAGAAATAAGAATGCCTGTCCATTTTCTTTCAATGAAACAGTGACGGGCGTACAGTGTTCTGTTAAAACTGTACTAGTGAGCTAATACTTGGAACTGGGTAGGGTAGTTTGTACTTTTGTTACACATGAGATACACTTTTTCTGTCTATCTGATCCTATCGCCCTCCTGAATGAAGTAACAATCAAAGAACCATGAGGATGAACAGCAAGACAGGGAAGTCCCCCCCAAGCTGCACATCACTAAACAGGAAAAAGCACCATGAGTGGCCATCCTCTCCATCTTGAAGCTCTAGCGTTCCTTCATACTCTAAACCTGCATTCCAAGCCTGTGCTCAGTACTCAGGTAAGAATAATGTATGTGCCTGAAGTGTGGATGATACTGGCATGCTTGCAAAATTTCTCCTTTATGTAGTATTTGAAGCTGCTATGGTCAGTGTAAAGCATTCTTAGTAGTTTCCTGTCTTTTCCTCTCTAGAGAGAAACCATAATAAAGAGAAATATAGCTAACTCTGGTGTCATGCCATAAGCCTTTATCAGAATTTTGTGTACCAGCGTGGAGCCTTGATCCCTGTCTCCAGTAAAACTGGTCACACTGAAAGATGCTTCCGATACAAGCAATTATTAGAACAGAAGATGAGCCTCTAAATTACAGCCAGTTCTGCAATAAAAATGGCAAATTAAAAACTTGGGCTAATAAAAAATTTTCATCTACACTCAGGCTTTTATTCAGACATAAAGCTACACACATACCTTGGTAATGACAACTTCTTGGTGAGATCTCCAGAACCTAATTATTCTTTCACACACATACAAGACCACAGGGCCCAAAGCCCATTTCCAGGCCTGCAAAGAGAGTGGGGCAGAGACCGGTGAAGAGAGAGGGGGAGGGAGAGAGAGAGAGGAAAGGATGGTGAGAGAGAGAGAGAGAAAGGGAAGGAAGGGGGAGGGAGAGACAGAAAGGAGGAGAGGGAAAGGAAAACAGAGTGAGAAAGGGAGGGAGGGAATGCAGGACAGAGAGAGAGACAGACAGAGGGAGACAGAGACATTAAAGTAGAGTAAAAATGCCTAACTTGGACCATATAAATACTTAGCATGGTGGGACTAAGATATTTCCCTTCACATTGGCCCAGCAATCAACAACAAAGATATCTCCGTGTACTGAATACGATAACATTTAATTATTCCTTAAAGTCTATAAGCTTATTTAAGAGATTAAATTCTCCTCTATTGGTTTTTATGCTTACTTGATCAATGATGCCTTTATGTAATTAGAAATAATTGAATCTACAAAGAAATAAGAAAGCAGATTGATGTTTATGTTATGTATGATAGGGTCATAAATGCTCCCAAACTCAGCCAAAGTCAAAGGCTTATAAAAAGGGGTTTTCAGCCAACATAAGGCATTTCACATAGTAATTTTAGGTACAAATAATGCCTCACAACTAGGGGATCTTTCTGAATACAGACACTCACACTCCCCTGTACTCATAGGACACCTCTTCCTCCTAGCAATGACAGTTACCTGGAATGAAAATAAGTCAGGCTAGATTCTTTAACACCGTAAGTCTGAGAGGACCAGAGTAAAGGTATCAACAATTATCTGGAGAGCTATGGCTAGGAAAGTTTTCATACTTAAAAATGTTACTTACTGTGTTAAGTTTTTTTGAGGATAATTTTCACAATAGATGACCAAGTTTGGGGCAGCCTATTCTTGTCTCGGGTGTTGAATATAACTTCTCCAGTCGATGGGACAGAATGGGTTTCAATGTCAAACAACCTTGCAAGGTATATGCTGGCCTCTTTATTTCACAGAGGAAGAAACTGAGGCTCAGTCTCCTCAGTCCACTCCTTCAACTTGATAAGGTATCTGGTGAACATGCGGGCCTGGGAGGAAGCGGTACACAGCCTCTGTTCTCAAGGGTCACGCTGCCTCACTTGAGGATTTACCCACAGCGGAAATGGAGTCCTACTACTTCCTGTCCAACTCCAGGCTAGGTCCTGAGGGTTGGTTTATGAAACGCTAGAGACTCCTAAGCTTGTTGGACCTAATGTCTATGGGTTTTGTTTTTTGTTTGTTTGTTTTTGTTTTTTGAAATCTTGCCTTAATCTTATAGAAAACAAAACAAAACCAAGCAAAAATGAACTCTGGCTTTCTGGGAATGCGTTTGAGTTGCCCAGAGAGACTGCGCTGGGTATCAGAGACCCTCCCTGGACCTCAAGGCTTGGAAAAGATTATTACATTTCCTTTTTGCCATTCTAAATCTACCATGACCTTAGTTCTTCAAGAAGATCATAAGAGCAGGGAGAGCACCTCCTCTCTTTGAGTCTGTGAGGTCTTTTAAACATACATGACTCATTATTTCCTTTCTGGCTGTCTGACTCTGTCTCCAAGATCACAAGCTCTTTGACACGTTTTATTTCTTTTGGATTATCTTTCTTATTTTTAATCTCTCTGTCTCTGTCTGTCTCTGTCTCTCTGTCTCTCTTTCTTGTTAGTCCTGGCTGTTTGCATACCTGTCTTCACCTAGCAGCTCTCTTTGCTTCTTTCCTGAGGGCCTCCTGCTTGCTTGATAAAGGCTAGGATTTATTCAGGCAACACAAAACAATTTGACCCACTTACTCTTTTCTGCCTCAGTGGGATTCAGCAATGTGTTCAGAATAGCGGGGAGGATAAAATCCTTTGTCCACTCATGCTAGGATGAGGCAGTGAAGATGATCAGGGAAGGCAAAACAGAGGAAGTAGCAGGAAGATGAAGCTGGACCAAGTAAATGAAGCCCTCGCTTCCTTATGCTTGAATGGACCAGAAAGTATTTTAAGAAGTGGTTTGGATATTTAGAGAAATGACAGCAGCAATTCTTTCTACATGAGAGAAAGATTTGCAAAGACATTCACAAAGTCTTTGTGTATTTTCACAAATAATCTTCCATATCCATTTGAAAAAGCACACTTAAGGTATCACATAGTTCATTTTGGTGGTGTCAAATCAGCCATGGCCTCTGCTTTTTCCACATTGATGAAATGGAATGGGTTATTTTTCTTTCCATGGTTAGTCAGGAAGGAGAATGTAAGCCATTAATCCTTGGCTCTATCTCTAGTCTACTATATAAATTGCCCCAAGAGGAGATAGGGAGGCTTATTTATACTGCGATACTCCCAGAGTCCCTTGGAGATTCAGGAGTGAGGGTGAGATATAGTCAGTAAGTGATCTTAGGTACGTGGTCCAGCTGTGTGGATCAGCATAGACAAGAATGAATAGATAAAAGATGGGGAGATCATGCTCCCATCTCTCTTCCTATATTTTCAGATACATTGGTGGCCGTGGTGGTGGCCGTGGTGGTGGCCGTGGTGGTGGTGGTGTGTGTGTGTGGATAAGTGTCTGCTAAGGTCAACTTTAAGGCCTTCCATCTTTTCTTTTTTCCTATTTTTTTAAAATAGGATCCCTCGCTAGGACCTAACATTTACATTTACTGATTACCCTAAGGTGATTGGCCAGTGAGCCCCAAGGGCCTGCCTATGTCCATGTGCCAGTGTTGAAATGGCAAGCACGCTCTGTGTCAGGCTTTTACATGGGTGCTGGGGACTGACTTGAAGTCCTCACACCTGCATACAAAGCAGCTTACTGGCTAAGCTCTCGCCCCAGCTCACAGCTTGGGCTTTTTTATATTTGAATTTTGTATTTTTCAGACTGGGAAATGATTGGAGAAAATTCTTCTTTAAGTTCTTGCCAAGCTCTTAAACGTTTTGGGTTTATTAAGTGAGATAAAAGCAATGCTGGGAACATGTGCTTGCAGACAGTAGCGGAAGCCTGCACAGGAAGTGCTGGAGGAAGGTCAGAATTTCGGAAGGTAAGGCATAGGATGTGCACAAGAAATGGCACGGCCTGCCACAAAGTCAGGAGTTCTTTATGGTGTGATTATGCTTGGATGCCCTTAGTACCAGAGGCGACACTTTAAAACACCCTCAACCCCACCTTCTCCATATCTTAAACAAAGGGTCAGAACTGTTTAGTATCCCTGCTTCCTTAGTGTTGAAAATCATATGGAGTCTTAGCTTTTTCGTTCAGTCTCAAACATGCTCAGAAAAGCCACAGTACAGCAAGTGCGCTATAACAGATAATAAAACCGTGTTGTGTTGATTTAATAGCAGCAGCAATGAAACTTGATTCCTCCATTTTTATTCCTCCCAGAAAATACGGGCAGGCTGGCTTTGATTTTATTTTATGTGTGTGGTTATGAATAGGCATTTTCTCTGACAATAGTCTCTCCTGGGGCTGGCCCCCATGTCTGAGTTCTGTGTTTGTGTGCTAATGTGCAAGCATGGTGACAAACCACTTGGTGGAAGTTTTGTGATCAGCTCTTCTCTGGTCCGAGGCTCTCCCTCTTACTGCTAACATTATTCCACAGAAAGTAAAACACTCAAAACCAAACAAACAACCAGAGCCATGTGATTATTACCTGTAAATGAACTAACTCTTTGGCCATGGCATACCCAGCATCTTTTGAAACTAGACAGAACAACACTCAAATCTGAAAAATTTTGTGTGCCTGTAAGATTGGGATAGAAATCAGGGCAGGGGATTTCTTTGGACAGTTTATAAAAGGCGATGGACAAAAGATTCTCGGATCCAACAATGTACCACTGATGAATATTCTGCAGATAAAATCTTCATTAAAAAATGCCAAAGAGAGGCAAAGAGGACTAAATGGAGCCCAACTAGTGTGGGTTGGGTCCAGTGCAGTGGACCACGGAACCCCTCCCTGTCCTTGGAATGCCTTTCTGAGTCAGGGTCTGTAAGGCATCAGAGGGAATATCGTACAGTCCAGCCAAGCGGTAATTGCACAGCCCACACGCTTTGGATCAGGATCCCTTAAAAATAATGGAAAAAGTGACACTGTGAGTTTGGGTATGCAAGGAGGCGTAGTGGGGGAGAAAGCAAGAGATGGTGCCGCCCTCCTCCTAATCATAATTAGTGCTAGCACACACTGCTGGGAGCAGGCCCTCCTCTGTATTCATGAAGTGTGGGAGGGTATTGATTTTTTTTTAAATGGAGATGCTGTGGCTGAAAATTTTAGCGAGGTATTCATGTTTTTCATTCATATACAGGCCAGATAGTGACTACCAAGCATTGAGTTTAAGACAGAGACAATCTATACCGGCCAATAAAAGACACACAGGCTAATGGGCATGTCTATTTCTCATCCCTCAGTTTTAAACATTTATCCAAGTAGTTTTACCCTTAAAACCTAGAATTTAGTGTAGTGTATTTAAGAATTTTTTGGTGATTATTTAGACCCTTCTGATGTCATATATGCTATTCTATTCTATTCTATTCTATTCTATTCTATTCTATTCTATTCTATTCTATTCTATTCTATTCTATTCTATTCTATTCTATTCT